GTACAGTATTTCAGACTTTAAGTTAATTAATTGGATGCCACCTTTGTTATTTACAAAGCGATTGTTAAAATAAGCTCTAGTTCTTTTTTTTTTTTTTTCAGTTAATGCTTCCTCAATAATTGATTATGATTTGCAACAAGTTTAGAGAAGCTAAATAAAGTAGGGTCAGTCATTGAATGATTTTTTTTTTCAGTTAATGCTTCCTCAATAATTGATTATGATTTGCAACAAGTTTAGAGAAGCTAAATAAAGTAGGGTCAGTCATTGAATGAAGGGCCAGTCTTTGGTTGTGTGGGCACTACATTAACAGACTAAGAGAAACACTGTTTAGAATAATTCAGAAATACTTTTTGCAAGCCCATGTGTTCTCAACGGCTCCCCACATTGCTAATGTTATGTGAAGAAGGAGCTTGTTACAGAGCTATGGAAACTAGGATGCTCCCAAAATATCAAAATGTGTGCTAGAGCATGCTGTAAGTTACCTTGCAGCTCTACAGTCTTACCACRAGAATAAGAGGAAGGTATTGATTTGCCTTCCCACTCTTTACAATTTAAAGCCATGTCAGGCACCTGAGAACTGTTTGACATCATTGATGATTTGTGTTCCTTTCTGTAATTGAGGTAAATTTAGTTTAAATTAAGATTTATTTTTTGACAGGAGCTCGTCTGGGCCAGACGGGAAGCTGCATGGATGAATCTCTTTCTGCACAGCATTGACAGGAATCAGCTGAGATTAAAACCAGCAAGAATAGATGATTTCACAATAGGAAGGGATAGAAAGCTTTTTAATTCACTGAAATGAGTAACTCTTCAATGCAGAGAGAGGAGAGAAAGACTGACTACTGGGACTCTGGTGAAGGCCTGGATAACTAGGATCTTTCATGTGAAAGGAATGAAGGAAATGGGACCTGAGCTTTTCATTTGTTCTCATGTGTGCTTTGGTGACATGAATGTGTTATCCAAGGGCCACACTCCAAGCAAGTGATTATTTTATAAATACGCCTGCAATGCAATATTCAGTCGCTTGTGCAATAGGAAGTGGGATAGAGACATAGGAGGAGGTASGTGAACGGCATATTACAGTGTTTGCAGTTAGCAAGTTGAAGCCAGCTCTTTGAATCTGTCAGTCTTGCCTAGCATATCTCTATGTACCTGATCATATATCTGAAATGATCACTCAGAAAATTCTTTAGTTTGTCAATGCAGCAAGTGTTGGAGGAATTGTTCTCTTAAAAAGATCCTCAAGCTAGAGCATCTGCAGCGYTGGAAACATTTATTAAAACACATTCTAGGAAAAGAATTAGTGGGAAATGAATTTCTCTAAGGGATGAAGTCTGATATATGGAGCAGATACTTCAAATGCAGCATGTCTTGTAATAGGGTTCTGTTGGGCAAACAGATTATTGTGGCAAAACAAATACACTTCATCTGAACTATAACAACTGTCTAGAGTATGTCTTCAGTCCATTGAAAATGCAAGCTTGAGCATCTTCTTAATCTAAACTGTGGATGGGGAAGTATTCAGGTATTGAATGTAGTGCTTTTTGCATGTGCAGATAGACAGGCAAATGAAAAGGCTAAAGCCTCCTTAAATCCATGTCTCGCTCAATTCAGATTGCAGGTTAAACTACTTTTAATTTCTTTRCACTTGGTCTAGGCTAAAGCAGGCGTGAGGAGAGCTGCCATCACTCAGTTAATGTGCAGCAACCTGTTCCTACAAATAGATTGCATGTGAATTTAGAGAACTGATCCTACCACCTGAACTCACATACRTTCTGTCAGACACTAACCAATTCCTTTACAATTTAGAACTAAGAAGATATAAATACACTCCTTTTGAGACCTCCAGTCAGAAGAYGCAGATCTACATAGACAGTTTCAAAAAATCTGTTCTGGCAGATTCTGGATTCTAGCAGCTTGGCTGTCTTCACTGAACAGYTCCCTTTACCAACAAGTCTTTGGGATGCTGGCCGCAAGGGAAGCTAAACAGAGTAAATATATTGTATTAGGCAAAGGCAGTCCTGCAGCAGGTTATTGGCAAATTGCTTTGCAAGAGATTTCAATACGGCTAAATCTGAATCACTGTAAGAAAGGTTTAAGTCTGAATTTGTGTGTGTGTATGTGTGTTCTTTTTTCTCCTTGTCATATTACTTTTCAAGTTAAGAAACTAAAAAAATTAGAGGTAGTATGATTTCGTAAGAATTTGTTTTCTCACAAAAATATTTCTTTTTCCAAAAAAAATTTAATCAATTTTTGATACAGACTTCAGAACACTAGTTCTTCRCATATAAAATACCTTTTTTTCTCACTCCATTGTTCTTAGTGCTGAAAAAGAAAACTCATGKTTTTTTTTTCTTTTTATTTATTTATTTTTTCTTTTCATCTTCATCCTAAAAAATCCTAAAGCRTTGTAAATCCTCTTGCTTTGTGTTTGGAAAAGATTATAGAGTTCATTAAAGAATGTCCTTTGGAAATATATTCTTACTCTGAATCTAAGATTATGTTTTCACATATGGAAAGTTGTCCTGATTGTTTAACACAAAACTTTTCATGCTGTATTTTTTTTTTCTCAAATAAGGTGCAGTTGGCTTTTTTTTTGAAAAGATATATTTTCTATCAGTAAAATACTCAATGTTGTAAATAACTTGAAGGGCATCATTGCTTGAAGCTCCGTGTCTTACAAATAGTTCTTATAAGAAATTTTATAGCACATACCTACTTTACTTCTTACAAAATTCAAAGTAATGCCAAATAGAAGAATAAAGAATAGGTCCGAGTAGACTGAGGAGCAAAATATTCTTAGTGGAGGCTATATTCACTATATATTTAATAGCATTGTTACTGAATTTCTTGTCATGCAGCTATCAGTGATTGAAGWGGAAAGTGAAAAGGTTTATAGGAATTGGCCATTACAGACATCAGTATATGTAAGTATAATTAGAAACAGACAAAATTAAAGTACATATTATAAACTCATAGCTTCATAACAATACTGGGAAATACTGTGAAACACCCGGATGAAAACTGTAGAGAAAAGTTGAACCATTCAATCTATACTTGCCACTCCATGCAAAACATCCATTGCCTGAGATTTCTTTGAAATAATACTTCGTAAAGCAATCCTCTATCCCATTCACAGCATTTTTTTTATTCACTAATGTCTCTAAATGTTACAAAGGAAAGTCACTTTATTATCCCATTATAAAACACATGCAAAACCTCCACATCAGGTTTTAAATGTGCTATACTATGTGCTATACTGTAGCATCTTGCTACAGGGTCTCAGTGTTTGGAAAAGTGGAAGGTAAAGCTGTGGTGCAAGAGGGTGCCCAGATGTTGCTGCTCTACCACTGAGATGGGCTGATTGTGACTGGGATCGGCACAGCAGCTCTTTCCCTTGCCTCCCTCTGTGACAGGCTAGGAGAGGAATATAATTCATGAACACAAAAGCACCAGACAAAGGACTTTTTGTGCTCTCCGTGTGCAGTGAGTTACCTCCTCCAGGCACTCACAGGGCACTTAGAGGTCAAAAAGTCTTTCTAACTTGAAAGCAGCATGGTGCAAATGTGGCCATGGTGACTCCAGGCTTTTGCCGATAATTAAGCCTCTGTGCTGCTTTCTCTTCAGAAACTTTCGGGCTTGGGCCTTTGCTAGATGAAGACTTTCCACACCATGTTTTGGTGTGGAAGCTTCATTATATAGATATTCACTAAATATTTCATTCCCACAGCATGATACAACAACACTGAACAATCACAGGTTGATTTGGGGATAATGTCCCCAAATACTTACTTGTAGTAGGGAGTCTGAYACACAATATGTGCCAAAGCTAAACAGTGATCACCTCTATGGCAAGTATCACTTCAGGTGACCAGATATTTGTCATGGTTGTATATTGTATTTACAACTATTTATTCATTATAAAATTTAAACTGCCTGCAAATTCAGAATTACCTGCTGAAAGAGCTCCATAATGCCTGTATAGGTGAACCTGTTCCTTCGAGAGAAAGCATTCTGTTCTGCTCTGCTAGAAATGTGAGGAGATTGAACTTCCTATGAGCATAACAGCTATTCAGCATTAGAAATTCAGAAGAACCTCATGGTAGCTGAAGAAATGCAAACCCTCAAATTACTGGTGGTTTTAATTATGCTTCTGGCAAGGAGTGCAAAATACTAGTTATTTAAATGCACCACTATACCAGGATTTCTGTTGGTTCAGCCATGTCCATCACTGACTGGCTCCTGTTGTCATCACTGAATAATTTTGACCAAATATATGTTAAAAAGCATGTGGGAAGGGTGGCATTGAGCAGTAGAAGTGATTTATGCTCAAAGGAGAAGCATATGAAAACACAGAATAGAGGGAGAGAAAATGAAATATTACAGAATCATTGTGCTGTCTAACAGAATGTGACTGATTTTGAAGGAAGAAGGGAGGGAGGGAGGAAGGAAGGGAGCAAGGAAGGAAGGAAGGAAGAGGAAAGATATTTGACTTTCAGAATTATTTAAAATATTTCTCTAGAATAACTTGGAAATATACCAATTTGATGGAGATTTCACAAAGATTTCAGGTTCAAGCTGAARATCCCTCAGATACATGTTTCTTAGGGCAAAATCCTTTTGTCAAAAATACATGTAGCTGCCAGTGCAGCCTTCAGGAGATACACATGCAGACCTGAAATTACTGAGTACTGCTTGGTTTTCCTTTCTCATCTACATTATTAAATGTAAAGTAATAGAAGGCAAAAAAAGTTATCCCGTTTCCTTTCTAAAAGCACTGACTTTAGCAAGATTTTTTGTTTCTTGTTTGTACTAAAAGGGCCATACTGTTTATTCTTTACAGCCTTAGTAGGTTTCAAGGTGTATGAAGAATGCAGGACTGGGTGCTAATTATAGAACATCAAAATGCTGCTGTTAGCTTTTTTGTTAGCCCAGATTCTTGGTTCTCTGCAGTTACTTGTTTCAACTGTATGGACAGACATGGCATGGTTATTCCTTACCAGCTCATTGCTGCCATCCTCCTCAAAATCCTCCTCTATCCCATCAGTCATCTCTTCTCCATCCCCATCTGCATCTGGCCCTCCTTCAATTGGATCTTCTGTAGAGTTATCTGCATTCTCTGATATGCATTCCTCTTGAATCAAATCAGCATTATCTTCCATTTGTTTCTTTTGAGCTTCTGTAAGGAAAACATATTCTATAGAGATTCAGTAACCTTTCCTCTTGGTGGAAAAAGCGGAGGTTTCTCTGAGGAAGAAACCCAAACTTCCCATCTCTAGATGAAGTAATTTTATGAAAATGAGTGTGTTAGTATTTACCAGGCAAATATGATCAAAATTCGTGTTTTAAATAATTAATGCATAAATCAACACTATTATGCTCATCCTCTCCATGTGGYGAATGAAGGCTTTCTTTACCACGGGATCTTGCTTCTGATTCTCTGGACTTTGATTTGCTGTGAGAATCCAATCTGCATAATCACCATACATTTATTTATCAACAGCCAATGAGCTGTTGATAGAGAATAAATCTCTATGCTCTCAGAAGTGGATGGCTCTTAATTGCCATAAAGGAACAAGGATTTGCATAAATTTGCTGTGAATATCTCTCAACAGTCATACAGATAATCACGAAATTATTCCAGTCACCTTTTTAATAAGCTAAAGTAACGGTGTTCTCCCCGTTAGCACTTTTCCCTCAGCACTTTTATAATGTACTGAGGCAACTGGAGAATGTCTCCCCATCTCATTGCTCAAATGCAGAGTTTTCTACAACTTCTGCCAAGCAAGAAAAAGAAAAAACATTTTTATTTCTGTAGAGATCCAYGGGATCTGTTCTGCTTAGTTTACCCCAGATGGCTGTATTGCTGTGATTATGTATTGCAAAACTTCTATATATCTGGAGGAGTTTCATCCCACAAGCTGAAATCCAGAGGAGTATCRAGAGAGGAATGAGAGACAGACTGGCTGGGAGAATGGTTAGAGGGATCAGAATCTTATTCCTGTACACATATGGAGTTTAGATGGTAGTCCATATTTAATCAGAATGATGATGGGTAAGAGAATTATTTGTATGTAGCTGGAATACCAGTGTTGTTGTTGTTATTATTACTATTATTACTATTATTACTATTATTACTATTATTACTATTATTATTATTATTATTATTATTATTATTATTATTTTCAGCCTGGAGGTTAGAATGTCCATAAATGATCATATGTGTTTAACAAAAACATTTATTTCTATCAGGTTGACTGTTCTATAACACTAGCTGATGGATCACCTATTTTGTTGAACAGTCAATGAATCTGCAAATAGCTTGTGAAGCTGCAATTTTTTCAGCTTTATGCATGTATTTTTTATTACTTTAGATTATTACCTGCTGCAATTAATATTCAAATCTTCTCACACTTTTCTATATCTTAATCTTAAGTCGAGACAGCATTTACTTTCCTTCTACCTGCACACATTTATTATTTGTTTTGCAAATTACTTCCATCTCCTCACTCTTTCTTAGTCTCTAATCCTTCATTTACTCAAGTCATTTACTCAAGATACAGAATAATGAGGCTTTTTCTCCTTGGTCACTTTTTTTTTTTTCCAGAAAGATTGTTAGACTTGCTGCTTGCCTAACTGCACATGCTACTTGCCTAACTTGCCTAACTGCACAACGAACAAGAGTTGAGTCAGCTACATCTATTACCTTTTACCCCACCTCAAGTCACTTATTAATTCAGTTGTAAAAACCATTAGTTGAGTATCTGATTCTTTYGTGCTCCTCTGAGAAGCTAAATTTRAGATTTCTTTTAAGCATCATTTGTAAAAATCTTCATCTCTGATATTACAGGAAGAGTGTTCTCCTATTGTAATCACATCAGAACTTCTTATCTCTGGTTTTCTGATCCAGATTTTTACAAACATTATATTCCTATTCCTACCAATTTCATATCCACAAGAAATTGTTCTGCTAAGCCACAATAGTTATTTGATAATTCAAGGAAATTCTGTTATCTAAAATTTGCAACTATTTATTAAGAAGTGATACTCAGCCTCCTTGCATATTTGTTAACCATAGAGTTCTATTCTAAAACTGTAACATACATTACATGGATTTCTTGTTTTAAGATTTAAGAGAGAGATATTGCTTCTCAATAGAAAGTGTGAAATTATCATTCTTTTACTTTTAAGTTCTTGTATCTACAGTCATTCTACTGAAATAATCAGGGGACTGATAACCATAAAAAGGATATCAGCCAGTACTACAAAAAGATTTTTATCCATCTGTAGAAAAATGACTGCAGTCTGTACTTAGCTTGTCTAGTTTTTCTGTTTAACCTGCCACAGTCCTCCAGATATCCAAATTTTAAGATTAATGATTAAATGCTCTTCTCAAGAATGATGCATAATTAAAAAAGACAACAAGATGATATTTTGACTTTTATATATTTTTCTTAAATAGACAGAAATCCTTTCTATGATCGCAGTTTTCCTGCTCTTTCTTAATGAAACTAACTTCAGACAGCAAAATGTGAGAAATAATCTTGCCAATCTATAAAGAACGAACAAAATCATCATACATATGATTCTGTAAATTAAACAGTTGAGCTATTCATGCATCTTTATTTTATATAAAGTATTTATCTGAGGAAATATTAATTTGTGGACTCATCATCCAGGACTCATCATCCAGGATGCACTGCCCTCTATCAATGAGGGACTCAAACAGGAATCCAGTTTTACTGACATGCCTGGGGTATTTTTGTCCTCACATTCCTCAATGAGAAAACAGGAAAACGGGAGATATAGGTTTTTCACAGGATATTAAAAAACATCAACAGTTGGAAACTACATTTTAATGTCTAAGGAGACTGTTCATTGCTCATTTTCAAACAATAAAACAGTATGATTCAACACAAATTAACATTTTCCTCCTAGTGAAGATTTCTATTTAAATGAGTTCACTAGAATCTCTTAACAAAAAGTGCAAATTGGATATCAAAGTACAATGACATACAGGTTCTTTTGCATAGCAATAGATTTTATAAAAGCTTGATGAAGTAGGGATGTGCCATCTCAGAACATCTCAGTGCTCACGTGATTCAATTATATCATCATTGATTATGTCAACTTTCATATAATTTACATAAAATACAAAATAGAATATAGGAGCTATTGACTTAATACATGATTATAAACAAATGGTAGAATCTTTTAAAACCTTCTTTAGCATTTGTTTATTTGTTGAAGACAAAATATTTTTTCTGGAATGTTAAAGGCTGGTAAGTGTTTCATTAGAGTTGAAGTAGGGGAACAGAAAAGGGAAGGATGCCATTGCTTCTTGCCCTGAYAATAATTCCTGATACAGACCATCTAATAATTCTGTAATTCTTAATGTAGAAAGTACAAGTATTCTCACAGTCAGMAACTTCCATTCTGTTTAGTCAAAATTATTTCAAATGTTTCATTTCTGAAACAATTATTTATTTATTTATTTATACTGGGCCCACATTATGTAGAAATTTTCTGGAAGGCTTCTGTTCTCTCTCTAATCTTTCTACTTGACTGATAACTATGGTCTAGTTTAATCCATGTGACTACATTTTTTTTTCACCTACCTGCCTCAGCTTTTTGCTGTTTTTCAATCTTTTCCAGTCTGCCTAGCAAGGAGTCAATTTTTGTTTTGATTTGGGTTAATTCCTTCTTGATTGTTTGCAATTCATCTGATTTCACTGTGGAAAGAGAACAGAGACACAGAGAAATGAAAGAAATTATATTTGTACTGCTTTGTGAATCAACAGAACATGTTCCTTTTCCATGTACWATGAAAGCCTACTGCCTCATTTCTCTCTATTTTTTGTGAATCATTATTTAAGACCAACTTTGTTAGTTACAAATACTGAATCTTAGAACATCATAGGACACTAAGCCCTAGCGACAGGGGTTTACTTCAGGAGTATAACTCTGTAAATAATCATTTCAGATGAACATTTAAAGGGAGATCTTAATATATCCAAGTATCTTTTAGTGACAAACAGCCTATAATGAAGGAATGATTCCAATATCGCAGACAAGTTACTCTCTTCTAATGTTGTTTTTCTGGTCTATTTTTTAATAGTAGAAGCAATAATAAAAAGATCTACAGTAGGTGAAGCAGATATTTTTCAATAAATGTGAGTAGTAACATAAATCCTAGAGCAGACAGGAACGTAATGTTATTTTCCAGTCAATAACTTCATTGTAATATAAAGTGTATAAAAATATTACTTTAAAAGTTTTCAATTCTTCCTAAATACTGCTACTTTTTCCAGAAGTAGATAATACATGAAAATATTTATTTTCATGATCACATCTGGAGATTACAGAATCACAGGATCACAGAATGGTTGAGGTTGAAAGGGACCTCTAGTCCAACCTCCTGCTCAAGCAGGCACACCTAGAGCATGTGGCACAGGGTTGCATCCAGGTGGATTCTGAAGACCTCCAAAGAAGGAGACTCCACAACCTCTCCGGGCAGCCTGTTCCAGGGCTCTGTCACTCTCACACTAAAGAACTTCTTTCTCATGTGGAGGTGGAACTTCCTGAGTTTCAATTTGTATCCACTGCCCTTTGTTCTGTCACTGGACAAAACTGGGCAGATCTTGACCCCATCCTCTTTACATTGTGCACTCAGGGACTGGACCATCTGTTTTATGAGGAAAGACTGAGTGAGTTGGGCCTGTTTACCCTGGAGAAGAGAAGAGTCAGAGGAGATCTGATCAGTATGTATAAGTACCTTATGGGAGATATGGGAGATTGTAAGGAGGATGGGGCCAAGCTGTGAGTTATGTGTGATTCGTGTATATTGAGCAGATCTCCTCTCAGTCTTCTCTTCTCCAGGCTAAACAGGCTTAGATCGCCTAGTTTTTCCCCATAAGACAGATGTTCAAGTATGTTAATTGTCTTTGTTGCTCTACACTGGACCCTCTCTACAAGTTCTATGTCCCTCTTGTACTGGGGAGTCCAGAACTGCATACAATATTCCAGGTATGGCCTCAACAGATCACCTACCACCACCTGCTGTCAACACTCCTTCTAATGCAGGCACTCTGCCCCTCATCCAAGTCATTGGTGAATAAATTGAACAGCCCTGGAGCCAGTACTGAACCCTGGGAGACACCACTGGCCATAGGCTTCCAACTAGGCTCAGTACCATTTATCATAACCCTTTGAGCTCTGCCATCCAGTCAGTTCTCAAACCACTCTACTATCCACTCATCTAACTTGATACTTCCTGAGCTTCCCTATGAGGGTGCCAGGGGAGACGGTGTTGAAAGCTTTGCTGAAGTCAAGGTAGACAATGTTCACTGCTCTCCCTTCAACCAACCAGTCAGTCATCCTATTGTAGAAGTCTATCAAGTTTGATAAACATGACTTCCCTCGGATAGAGATAGCTCTACCTGGTTCATTAGTAACCAATGTGTGTCTGCTTCTAAACCAGCTTTAATGCAAGCTTAGATGACATTCATTGAGTTTGAAACTGATATTATTTTATCCTACAGTTTGTGCCATGTACACTGTAGCTATAACAACAAATACAACAACATGTTATTACATGTGACTATGATTTTTAATCACGTGCTTATATTGAGAAATTACTCATCTCACATTATCATTGGCTGAAACTTCTGATCTCTTATGAAACAAATGGTAGGTTTTATACAACTATGGTTAAAAGTGACCTTCATTCTAGTCCCTCATATTGGATAGAATTATTCAGTATATTTATAGACCAAGGTCTTAAAGCGTTCTCAGAAAAGTAACGGGTCACTGTCCAATCCTTGAGATAAAATGTTAAGATTCTGACAAGTGTATATTTAGAAGGTCACTGCTTCCCTTGGGGCCATGATTCGTCCATGCTGGAGTACAGAAGCATCACAAATTCCAAGGTGAAATAGTATGAATCTCTCCAACAGGGAATGCTAAGTCTCTGTTGCAGCCCACTATGAAGCCAGATGGCAACAGATCTCATGCGGTTAAGCTGTATAATTACAGGTTTTCTCTTGACTGGCATTGCAGTTCAAAAGATCAGACATCAGAGGTGACACCACAAGGACCTAATGGTCCCATTTTGAAATACAAAGCAGTATGCTTTGTATTTCAAAATATGCAGTGCAATACAATACATTTGCACTTCTCAGTTTGTCAAGGAAACAGCATAGGACTACTGTTCAATTCAGGCCAAAGCTTCTGCAAAGGGCTTCCCTTTGCTGCTCGACTGAGAAATCAATTTGGGAAGAAGACTGGACTAAAGGGAAGACAGATGCAATGATGTCATCATGCAATGATGACAGCAAACCAAGATGCTATGAACTACTGAGCTACTGTATTGTTACCAGTGTTCCCTGCAGGTTCTCTCATGACAAAATCATTTGCTTAAAATTTGGGTAATGGAGCTACAACTTAATTCAATAAGAGCATTAAATAGAAGGTTCGGACATTCAGTTCGTCACATCCAATTTATACTAGAAAGGAGTGAGAAAGGAGTGAAAGAMAGATTTTCAATAAATCTGCACAAGTTTCAAGTTCTCAGTTTCAAACTTCTAATAGTGCAATAGTGTAGTAGCATGAAGTACATTCATTGGTCCTTCACTCTTGATGTAACCGTAAAAGCATTCAAGAATTCATCTTTTATGTCAGCATCTAGCGTCAAAGGAGACAAGCTGCACACTGGAACCAACTCAAAACAAGAGATTTAAAATTGATGTCAATCACATTTATAGAAATGGAAATGCCATTGTTGAGTTACAACAATATTTCACAGGGTTTTTTTTTTGCCATAACTAGAAATCGCTACCCATGAATCATGATTCAGATGTCTTTGAAATGTCTTTCAGATTACTTTTATCTAAATACTTCCAGTTCAATATCAAATATTTTATCATATTATATTAATTTACATTTCACTCTGAAATGGTTTCACTGATGATGTTAAGATAAATTCATTTAAAGGCATAATTCAATTTGTATCTTAATCTCTTAACTATCTATTCCCTATTCCTTCACATAAGGGATTAAAAAAAAAAAAAAAAAAAGATTGGCATTTTCCCTCTGTTTACATCAATAATAAAAAGAAATAGCACACTTCAAGAGCTTTAGTTCCTATTTTGTCAGGAAAAAAAGTGATTTTTTTTCCAGTGCTAAATGGCAATCTGCATCTGCTGCTTCAAACCATTAACATGGAAAATTACCATGTGCAGTTTCCCAATTAATCTATACAGTTTTATGAGTTCCTCCTGATGATGTGGAAAGTTTTTTTTTTTTTTCTAGTTTTTAATGTTAAAAAAATAGAAAAAAATATGTGGTCAATTAATTGTAGAACATTATAGATTCAGAAAAGAAGTCAAATCCTCCTGGTTAATTTTTGTTTTAAAAGCCAACTTAGAGCATATATTACCACTTTTTATCAGAACGAGAATTTACTGCAGTGGAAAACAGACATTATTTCTGCAAATGTACTCTGTAGTAAGCAAGATAATACATTTTTGTATTATATTTTTTAACTTTGCTATCTGCCACAGCAAGCTTCTTTCCTTGGTTTGCTGCTTTTCTTCAGGGAAAAAAAAAATTCCTCTGATTCTGATTCCTAACAATCGCACAGATGACTTTTCTGTGTTCTGAATTTTCTCACCCTTACTTGTATATATATGAGTTCATTTTCTGGGTCCTGTCTGAATGTGAACAGCTATGAGAATAGTTACGCTTAAGAGATTTCTACTTAAGTCTGAAAAGTATATTAGGGAATGTGATCTCATGAGAGTTTTGCCAATTGGGGATGAAATCTTTCAAGCATAGGCAATACCATTTTGACATAGTTAATTCTCAATTTGAGATTAAGCCTGTATATGGCCTTGAATTTCATTAAAACCAAAATAACTTATTTCCCACAAACTGTATTTCTCCTTATTGAAGAGAACCTTTACTTAATTATCAATAAATTGCAATTCTAATTAACAGTGAGTTAGTTCAAGAAGTTCAAATTAGTGATGAAAAAAGAGGGACAACAAAATATTAAATTGCTTAATCCCACAAATCAATATATGTATGAACTTTCCATATAAAATGGTAAAAGAAGCAACTGAACACACATTCTCTGTTTTCCAGCTTGCAGACCCTAAGGGAATGGCTTACTTATTTCTCTGATAAATGTCTTACAGTAAGCTGATTACATTTCTGTCCAAGCCAACAWAATCATGTTTCTACCTTTATGATGGGCTGGTTGGACTTGACAAAAAGGGAAGTAATTCTATGGGGAAATCAAGCATGAAAGTCTGTATACTGTGTGTCACCATCCTCTTAAAGAAAAGAAAAAAAAAATCAACCAATTTATTTTCAGGTGTGCTGCATGCAAAAGAATATTTTCTGAAATTTATTCCTTTATGATAAAATAGTCTCTGCAGCTGTGTTCCAAATGCCTAAAGAACTAAGGGGATAAACCTAACAGAAGGCCCTCATCTTTTAGTGATGTAACTTGCATTATAAAGAGCTGAATCAAAAAAATATTCACCTGGAGACTGATATTTGCAGAATTCACATGACACCTGAATCCATAGAATTACCTATTGAAGGATGCTTACATCAAGGTCCAACATTGTATATTAGAAATACTTATGAAAGCTCTTCTATTAAATGATTTACATGTTCTGCACAATTTCTATGTTATTAAAGCATCATGGCTGGAGATCTCACAGCATGCAACTATGGGTCATCATTCTTGGACTAGTGTTGAATTCTGTACTAAGCACTACTTCATTCTTGAATGATATTGTAAAATATTTTATGAAATGAAGAACATGTAATAAAGTAAATGTGATGAATATTCTGAGGAGTGAATTTCTATGTGTTCCCATTCATTATCATGAAATACTGATTTGTGTGTGAAGGAATTCCTCATGCCAAATTTCTCTGCTTTCCTAGTTCTAACTTATGCTGGAAAAGAAACATAAAAGATAAAACATCACCTAAAATCACCAAGGCAAAGTGAGTCCAAAAAAGCGATGATTTCTTAGATACACTTTTAGGAGAAGTAGTGAACTGAATGAAACTATACACTAACTTTTCATATGGATTAAACAGCAGTAAAGGGTAAACTAGAGGATATTACTGAATAAGTCTACAACCACACATACTTATTAAAGCTTAGATTCACTATGGGAGAGCCGAAGACTCAAGAATTGTAAAAGACTAGCAAAGCAATTTAAATTCTAAATTTATTAAAACTGAATCCTGAGTTATATGGTTCCATTTAAATCAATACCAGGAATCTGAATTCATTATTTAAAGTATTTAGGGGAGGAAAAAAAAAGAGTGACTATGGACAAAGAAATTGGTTCAAGATTTGTGTTTGAAAATGGGGTAGACACAAGCTAACCTTCCAGAAAGTAAAGATGATAGAACTCCCAGAAAACATGAGTCAGATTCTAAATATGACACCTAGATGAATATTTCTTGAGTAGTAGGTACCAAAGTTCCCATTCTTGCTAACAGTGATCAAGTCAATTCATTCAAATGCAGCCTCAAATCACACTGGAAGGTGATTTCACCGTACAACCAAAAAGTGCCTCTTTCAGCACGACCTGAATCATCACCTAGGATCCAATGACTAAGTAGTCCAGTCCATTGGCTAATAGGAGTTCAGACATCTAATGCACATACATCATCCAAAACATCATCTCAACCTTAATACTTTTGTTTAGTACTTGTAATGGCTACCTAACAAGTTAGACTAAAGTTGACAAACTTCACTAGATCTTTGCAAGAAGAAAGGCCATTTGCCATTTGTTTTATTTTATTTTAAAACTCAGAAGTTTTTTTCTTTTTTTTTTTTTTTTCCAATAAGCTTCTGCCTTATTTTAAGGCAGAAGTTGTTAACCTGTGATCCTTGAGCTGAATAGAATTTGCAAATCCAATGAAAATGACATGACAGTAGGGAATCCCACCATTTTCCTGCACCTGCTTGTACAGTGTGGAAAGTCTATGTTGGCCAAAAGTCATACTTACATTTATGAATGAAGTGAGATACTAGTAAAATCTACCACTAGTTACAATCCTCTCCTCCCAATGGTTCTATAAGATAGGTTATTTTAGTCATTAGCCACAGGAAGGTTTCTGGTATGTCTTGAGGGTGAAGGAAGTTGAATCAGATCTGGAAGAAGAGGTCCAGTGTTTTATCCATTGTCCTAAGGTTTTCTTCTGAAACCTTTTCAGTTTGTCTTAACATCCTTCATGCTTTGTGGGCTGAATATCTAGACACATCTTTCTGGAAGCAGGGTCATGTACAGAGTAAAYAATTTTCCTTCAAGATATCCTTAGTTTTATATCCATAAATTCTATACATTATTCTGCTACATTATGAGCTAAACAGCTTTCCAGCCTGAATTCCAAGMCCTCAAGAATGACTGTTTCCCAGAACATGACCCTTCCAAGGAATCATCTGAGTTCTTTTTCCCTTGGAATGAAATGTTATCTTTCCATCTTTTGCACTGCTTGTCATACTTCTTTTTTGTTTTTTTTCCCCATCACATATATTCATTACAAGTTTTCATTCAAGAATTTGCCATCAATAAATACAATTTAAATCCTAGTGAACTCACTAATAATCATCTTTGTTAGATGCTAGCATATGAGATTTGGACAACTTGCTCAATCAGAGTATAAAATTGTCTTATATTTAGCTTCTTTTACAGTTAGGTGTAAGTTAGGTGTAGTGCTGGTGAATTCATTTGTTCCATGCTTTTTGTAAAAGAGTAAAGTGTTTTGCTGAGCAGTCTGGTACTACAAGTATCTTTTCACAGTCCCTTCAGCCTCTCTGATATTTGATCCCTACCTGATCTTTCTCTTCCTCTTCCAGAGATGCTTCCAAGGACAGTTTCACTCCACATAAGGGGCAAGGGAAGACATGTGGGTGCTGAAAGATGCATGGAGAGGAAGATGAAGTTTCTGGGAAATACTATGTGGTAAGGAGGTTGTGAACACGGAGACGGGAATACCTATTGTTTATCAGCTATTCTAAGGCAAATTAACTTCGGGTTGGACAACCCCTCCAGCTGATGATTTACTTTCCCTTGAGAACATGCAAAGGGTGTTTGAGTCTGTCTGTTTTCAAAGGATTCACTAAAAAAACAACCCACACAATTCCCTTAACCCCCAAAAAAGAGACAAACAAATTTCCACAGGAGTGAAATCTTCAAGCTTCCACTGAGATAAGCACCCCTCAGTTTTTCTGGAGTTTAGGTTGTTAGCATTGAATTATTGTCATCAGTTTGTAAGACTTCATTGTGCATAAGCACTCAGGATGCTAGAAGAATTTAAATATGCTTAATTTGAGGTGAAGGAATGAAGAATATCAAATGTTATTGAATGAATTGCCTTTAACTTGATGCTCTTTGACTTGCAGAAAAATCATGGCAGCTTTTGCAACCAGCAGAGCTATCATTTAGACTGTCTGCTTTTTGAAGAAGTTACCAGAATCACTGTTTCAATAAAACCCAATGATATGAACAACTCACATTTAGATCCTGAGGAGGAAGCCCCACTTGATGTGGATCGTGATGCTCCTTTCATGGAAAATACCCCTTTGCCTCTGCGAGTTGTTGTCACAGCCACACGAGGACGCTTCAGTGGTATCACTGCACGTGGTGGTGGGGGGACACGGCCATGGTAATCAAACAACCTAGAAAAGATGAACTCAGTTGAACTACATAACACCTTCTGTGATTTCATGGCATGGAAACACTGCCAATTACATTTTCATGCTGCCTTTGAGAAAATTACCCTTTGAAACCATAATCACTTTATATGACAGGCAAATTAGATTTCAAGGACCTACGCACACTAAGTACTGTATTTGGATTTCAGTCACAACCTAGTGCATAACTCAGATTTTGCATAGCTTAAGTGAGGGATACTTCACAGGAGTCTGTTAACTGTAGCACGGAAAATCCATTACCTGTTTCCACAGGTCCACATCAGTTCATTGCACATAAGTAACAGCAGTACATTTTATTGTGGTGACATTTCAGTTCATTTACTACATATGTGGCTTAGATTCTTGTTTTCTGTCTGCTATCAGTACAGACAATAAAATACATCAACTTTTCTGAGGCTAACCATCATCATAAAGAAACACTTTACAGTTTGTAAAACAGCAAAAATGTCTTTCTAATATGGGAGTTGTTCATCCTTCAGAGTCCACAGAAAAGAGATTCCATCATATATTCTCTTTATTAACCTATCTAGAATCACTAAAGTACTAAATCAAGATTAAGACAAATAGGTTGAGACTCTTTTTCAAACAAAAAGCATTGCAGTAAGTAATGTAAAGAAGTAAAATTCAGAATTACCTCTACAATCAATGAAAGATTATATCCTAATTGAACTACAGTTCCTATCCCACAAATACCCAAATCCTAAAAACACTGCAATTAATAGCAGCTGATTAATCTCATAGAAACAAATAATGACAATAGAAGAAGTATCCAAAACTGCATGTTTTTATACAACAAAAGAGCTGCAGCGATGAACAGGACAGACTGAGAGAACAAAATTCGTTGAATGAACATTTCTAGTTCTCAGGCTGAAATCGAAGGATAAACAATATTCTCATTATGTGACATTCCTGAATTTCTGTCAAAAGATTCTTACAACTCATAATTATGTAAATTTATAACTGTGTGTTTAATTTTCAGACAATTCTGTCTACTGTCCCCTGGCTGGGAAAACAGATACATATTTGACAACAAACACATAAGAAACCACAGTTCAGTCATCACTGTGCCTAACAGCATACTGAGCAGAAAGCAAAATGAAACTTAAGTCTTTTAGTCTGTTTTCTGGCAATGCTTAAATCCTAAAATCTGTACAGTTGTCTGTACATAATCCTACAGATAACCAGCTCCTCATTTTTCCTGTCATAACTATTTGCAACATATGTTGCAGTGATCCCATGTCTCCAATTGAAGTTGCAATCTATAGTTTTCAGTATTCTAAAAAATAAGTGGATTCTAGCCATTTTAACCATAGATGAACAATTGTCAATGAAGATAAATATAAAAAATACATACAGGTTTAGTGTTTATCTGATTAAAGAAATACTTACATATGCTTGTGATGACAGTCATTCCTATATTTATGTGATGTATATTTATGTGATGACTGTCATTCCTATTTATTTGATAACATTAATATTGCTATCCTTTTCTGATCCCTATACTGCTTTAGCTCAGATAAGATAAATGTATTCTCCCTGAATAATTCAGGGGACCTTAGAAAACTAATTAATATTAAAAAAGAAAAATAGCAACAATAACAACAACAACAATAAAAATCCACTGTTCTCTGAGATTCTAAACTTTTGGATCAGACATATCTAGTTCAGAAATTCAGTCATGAATCCTTTTCTGCATTTCCATTTCCTAAAAATATGTTAACTGTACATTAGCAGACACAMAAGAAATCTCATATTAGAAGAGGTAGGTAGAGTAATGTCAAATTTTTTTCCTGCTTTATAAACTACACTATTATATTTCAGGAGGAAAAAAAAAAAGACATGGGACATGTAGCTGATTCTGCTACACCTTCACAAATACCGTTAAATTCCCACTGTGCTGAGCTGGGCTGTGTGTCAGTGGGAAAAACAAGGCATAAATTTCTCATTGCTCAGGCATTCACCCTCTGCTCCCTACCATAAATATAAACTTGCTTTTCAACTTGTGGTCCTGCCTCAAGAGCCTTCTAGACTTCTAAGAATTGTTGGAAAAATGTTTGAAATACAGCATTTTCATTCAACAACATATTGTTATTGAATACAACATTGAATACAACATTTCACATATTGTCATACATGTGGATGAACAAAAAACGAAGACAGGATTGTCATGTGAAGAATTTTACAGCTAGTATATGCTGCAGTGAAAGTTTGCCTGGAAGAACTTTGAAAGAAGGAAATCTGGGCAATTAAACCACCATTGATTTTTTTCAGCACAGAAAAAGTCTCAAAAACCCAGAGATGATTAATGGAAAAAGAGCTATATAATGAGCAGATATTGGAGTTAATCTTGCCTGTCATCTCTTTAAGCAGTCTTCTGATGCACAATAAAAATAATGAAAACAGTAACATTCAAAATCAAAACAGACCTATCCAAACAATATAAACCCACTATGAAATAACAGTAGAAATTGTATAGGGTGCAAAAAATATAACCACACATACCGATTGTAGAAATCATCCCTGTAGTAATCATAATCAAAGACATAACCACTGTGGAAAAAACAGAGAAAAACAAAAATGATCTGGCTACTAGAAAATAATTCCTTAATAGATCTGTGTCAATTTTTGTTTACTACCACATTCCTATGCATTTTTCAAAATATTTCCACTTCCTCTGTGCAATTACATATTGTATGAACATATACATACATAAATTGCATAGATTGTCCATGCCATYGTCCATTATCATTTTAAATTATATTAGAAGAAGTGAAGTCTGTGGCAATCAAAAGAGTAAAAGTTGCTTACAGCACATACAGAAGGAAATTCAGACAGCGCTCTCATTAGAGTTTTATTATAGTATGATTCTCTGAGTGATTAGAAAACATATCCTAATACTGAAACACTTTTTATATTGACATAATCAGTGGACTAGAAAGATTGATAAATGTGTGAGAGATTAGCAAATGAGTGAGTGGGTGAGGATAGGAACTAGAAAATTGATTTAATTCTTGAAAAGTGTGGAAAGGGTTGGACTTTTTTTTCTGATCTAAAGAAACTCATTAGAAGAGAAAGAGATCATGTTGACTGCAGTCCAGTTGGCAAATTCTTTAAGAAGGAATAACTCTCTATATATTTTCCATTCAATATTAAATAGAACCACCCTGAGAGACTAGAATCTAGCAGAAGATATGATTAGTGGGAATGATGGGCTAAAAACATATTAAATAATATTATTTAGACCTTGTACAGAGATCATATTTCTGTGTCTTACCTTAACTCAGCCAAAAGAAAAGATTCCCCTAATTTCTGCAACATCTCCTATTTTGTCTTTCACTTCACAAATTGTCTACAAGGAATTAAGAGATAGCAAAGTCATGATTTTATTTGCAGGTATTCAATGCTAATGTTTTGCTAATGATTTTACTTAGCTGAATGATTAATAAATGCAATAAGCTTGCATTTAGTATTCAGTTCTTTTTAAGTAGAAGAGCACAGAAAACTTGAAGAAAAAAAGATTAAATTCCGAAGATCCGTCACATGAAAATTCTAACCTGGGTTGATAGTAATTAAATTTGCATAAAGACCAAATAAATCCAGTTTTTCAGATTTGAAGACCACAAACTTGATGAAGAACAATTCACTTTAGACCAGCTAGAAGAAAGTTGAAGGGCATCTCTGCTTTTTCTGAGGCACTCAGCTCTGGCCCATAAGAGACAGTAAGGGCCACAGGACTGTTATAGGGTTTAAGTGACAGATTTTTTATATACAAAATTTCATGACAGAGATTGAGCAGTGGAGAAAGGCTCAAAAGATGGCTTAGGATGGAGAAGAGGACAAGGGTCGTCAGCTGTTTTAGGGAGCAGAGGTCAGTGGATATTTTGGGTTGGGAGAATGCCAAAAGTGGTTTGTGGTGTGACAACTGGCAGTTTTTCTCCTCAGTTTCTCTTTATCTTTCCACTCTGTCACTATATCAGTGAGGAAATGTTGTCCCACAGAATTCCTTATATAAAATGTTTTTAAACTGGTGAAAAATATGTCATAGATTTTTTTTTTAATACAATGTAAAATCTAGGATTATATTTTCTTTTGAAAGAAGCATTTTTTCACATCAACAAGCCCCCTAAGAATTTTGTTCTTTTGCTTTATTCCCTGTTCAGATAACTTCCACCTTAAAACCAAACTCAATCCTTCCATTCCTTCAGCTTTGTAATTGTAATTTAAACCCACCATTCTCTGTGTAGTCCAAATGCTTATCAGTGGAACCAGAGCAGAAAAAAGTACAAGTACATTTTGAAGCCTGATTATCACATAAAAAATGTGATTTATGAATTACTGTGAGTTTTTATAGGTTGCCTATATTACCTTTCAAAAACATTTCATTGCTTCAGAAATATCTGATATTAGCCATGCTTGTTCTGATTGCCCAGAAACACATTGGTTATCAACATCTATTATATGGTAAAAATTTTCAAAGAAAGAAGACAGGCATTGCCCCTATGCTTTAATCTTATCCTGGGAAATCCCAGTAGTAGTAAGTTGCACCTGGAGCCAGCTAAATGGCTCTGTTATAGATGCAGCGTCTTTAAAGTTTGCTTTGCTTTCAGACGTAGTATAAGCAGCCACCCATTGCTACTGAAATAGGAGATAACTGCAGTTATTCTGAATTTTGCATGACAGTCAGTCTCTGATACCGATATACCCACAGGTTTATTTGTAACATATATCATCCAATATGTCCATCCTACTGCACTCTCTGCCAAAAATTACTGACCCCATTGCTGGGGCACCAGATACAAACATATGGTAATATCTAAATGTGTCCTGTTAGCACAGTTGGCAAGCTAGCAGGAGCTATTTTGCTTATATTTCTGAATATAGTCTGAATTTACTGTTCAAGGCATCCCTCCTAGTTAAATCTCATTCTCCCACAGTACTGGGGAGTCCAGCAGCAAATATCTTCTTTCCTCTCACAGGCCATTAGGAGCTTTTTGCATTGGCAGATTTTTTTTGCATGGAGAATGAGTTGCACAGGAAGGAGCAGGCTCAGAGACTTCTTAGCTGGGATCTTAAGCAAAAAAGGAGCATCAGCTACTTCAACATCGAGGGAGGGAACGGAAGTGGATTGACTACCACAAGTGCTTGATTCTTTTCTTTTTCCTTACCCATCCATTTAGTGTCCTTAAAGAAAGATGCTGCTTTAGATTTTTTTTTCAGGAAGTAGAAATTGCCATACTGGACATTAAAATTACAATAGAAGAGTTGTCCTGTATGATCTTATCTGTAGATGTTGACCATTATGGAATAAGGAGATACGTAAAAATGGGGTTAAATTTTTTGGAAATCTTGTTAGATCCATGATCTGTGTTTCATCTCTTTTCCCTGAAATTCTGTATGCAGCTCTGGCAGCGTGGGCAGAGTGTGATGGTTCCTGTGTTACTGGTAAAGTTAAGTGTCCTAAGCAGCAACTGCTGACCTAGCAGCACATGAAGGCAAGATGTTATGCGAGGCTCACGTTGTCCTGAGTGTGTGTTGTAAAGAGCATAAATAATGATGAGAAAACCCAAAATTGATAATATAGAATAAAACTCATAGATATATATTTAAATCAGTCTCACGTTTTGTTTGTTTCATTGATTGTTTGTTTTTGAAGTTGAATGATGATTTTTCAGTGATGGTAGGAACGTATTAATGAAATTGCGCTGTGAAAGCAACCAGTATATCTCTCCACTGCAGACATAATTGTTCGTATCTATGAAGGCCAAGGAATAGACCAAAGCCTTGGTCAGTGCTGTGATATAAACCATGAARCAGAAATTCACTGTGGATAATCATTGGCTTTGAGATCAAGGTGACTGTGGGGCTCAGCCCCTTCAGAGTTATTCCTTAGCAACCCACCAACCTGTATTAAGAAGGACACAGATATCACTCGCATGGCGTAGAATACCAAATACTGAGAAAGCTGGAAGCAGGAAAAGGTTTAAAAGAGTCAGTGGAGTCAGCAGTTTCATGATGGCATTGTAAACAGATGGATTATTTACCCTCAAATGTCTTGCCGTATTTGTAGCATTAAAATCAGAACTGTGCACCTTAGGGTGCTATTAAAATGAAAGGCAGTAAAAATACTGAGACCAAAGAAAACTCACCAGTAAAAGGTTTTTCTTTTAAGCACAAGTCATGGTTCCTTATTCTGACCAAAACAATCAGTATTAGATGGAGAAAAATAATGTATCTTTTTAGCTTCACTTCACTTAGTGCTAAGTCTATTTTAAATTCTGTATGTCTGAAGAATAAAGAAAGCCTCTAGGACTGGATGTTCAGAGATGTAATTCTATATTTCAACTTCCATATGCATATCAGCAGCTATACGTGTGTCAAGCAAATGCAAAATTCTGCCTTTGCACTTTTGAAATAAGCTTATGCATGTTTAATAACATAACATACAATACATTTAATAATATAACATAACAATACATTTTCAATATATAATGTCATCAGATAAATAAGGACATTAAGTCCTTATTTATCTGATGACATTATATATTGAAAATGTATCACTACTGTTTAGCCTTTACTGTGTTCTGTGCTCTATTATACAAAAATATTTTTATAAATTAATGTTGATATTCTGTTCTCATTTACTTTGCTCTATACAGCAGTTATGTAACTGATTTCAGTGGAGTTAATCTGAATTTAGAATAGTTAATGCAAATAAAACATAATTTGATTGTCTTGTTTTCAGAACAACAAGAATTTCCATCTTGTGTGTGATTTCCCCTTAATCTTTTTTTTTTCCTTTCTGTAGGTATTCATGGGCAGAGATTTATTTGTAAATTATAGATGTTGACAAACCAGACACAATGTATCTTAATTCAATTGACAGCACTATCACCATTTATACTGTCAATTGCTTCTCTGCTGTCAGGGCTGGATAAAAATATTAAAAACAGAAACAGTATTCCTTCAATCAAACTCTTCTTAGATGGCACATATCAACATAATGGTTCAAACTAGTAATCCAGTCACTTGTATAATCATTTCTCTTGTCATGAAACAACARTGCTAGAAATTGTTCTTGTTGAATGAAAAAGAGAATCAGTCTAAACTGAAGTGTTATTCTAAAAAAAAATGTAGTGACCAGGGACTAAGTGTGAGGCAGAAATTTTCTCTGATAGCAAAATCAATCAGATGGTGATTACTTTCATGAGCTATTAAAAAAGGTGGAGATTTCAGGCCACTTTTCAGTAGAGGGCTACCTACATTCTGCAAAGACAGAAATTAGATCTGTGCTAATTAACATATTAGTTGATAATTCAATTATCAATGACTGCAAGTCTCCAAGACTAACGCACTCTGCAGGTTGAATACCACCTTTACTTTAGAAATTATCTTGTTTTATTTAAGGTAGAGGATGCTGCTAGAAGTGAAAGAACACTTCTGTTTTGCAGTTCAGGCTGAATAGTCTCCAGAGACTGTTTTTTGCTGATATAATTACTGCCAGTGATTCTTTCAGCTAGTATATTCCTGGAAATGTATAGGAAAAAAAAATA